AGATTATAGGAGGCATAAAAAGTGTAAGGCCTCTGCGGGAATCGAACCCACGACCTTTCCCTTACTAGGGGAACGCACTGCCATCTATGCTAAGAGGCCTTCCAAGGATGGAGGTATATATAATATAAAAAAAAGGTGTAATATATATATAAAAAGTTGAAATAAATAAATATAAAAAGTTGGAATATATATATATAAAAGGTGTAATATATATAAAAGGTGTAATATATATAAAAGAAGGAATATATATATATATAAGGAAGAATAAATATAAATAAAAGATAAGGTATAATAAAATAATAAAGGTATAAAGTTATATAGATATATAAATATATATATAGATATAGATATAAAGGAATAAAGTAGAAAAGTAGAAAAGTAGAAATGATAAAGTTTAATATATAACATAAGTTATAAAGTGATAAGTGACATATATATAGATATAAAAGGGTACATAAAGATAGAATATAGTAAAATGCAAGAGGTGGGGTTCGAACCCACGCCTCCGAAGAGAACAGTACCTTAAACTGCCGCCTTGGACCACTCGGCCACTCTTGCTGGTTGTCATATAATAAAATCAAAGAATAAAAACACTATAAAGGTATAAAGGTATAAAGGTATAAAGGTATAACTCTATATAGGTATAAAGGTATAAGAGGAATAGAATAGTATAAAGGTATAAAGGTATAACACTATAACACTATAGTCATATAGTCATATAAAGGTATAACTCTATAAGAATATAAGAATAGAATAGGGTAACACTATAGGAATAATATAAAGATAAAATAGAAAGTCTATATAGGATAAAGATAGAGTAAGAATAATAGAACATAAAAGGTTATAGATATCTAAACATTTACACATATATGAATATATAGATAGAAAAGGATCTAGAAATAAGAATAGAAAAGTATCTAGATGTATATATAGATATAAAGATAAGAACTAAGATGTAAGATGTAAGATGTAAGATATAAGATATAAGATATAAGATATAAGTAAACATATAGATTATAGGAGGCATAAAAAGTGTAAGGCCTCTGCGGGAATCGAACCCACGACCTTTCCCTTACTAGGGGAACGCACTGCCATCTATGCTAAGAGGCCTTCCAAGGATGGAGGTATATATAATATAAAAAAAAGGTGTAATATATATATAAAAAGTTGAAATAAATAAATATAAAAAGTTGGAATATATATATATAAAAGGTGTAATATATATAAAAGGTGTAATATATATAAAAGAAGGAATATATATATATATAAGGAAGAATAAATATAAATAAAAGATAAGGTATAATAAAATAATAAAGGTATAAAGTTATATAGATATATAAATATATATATAGATATAGATATAAAGGAATAAAGTAGAAAAGTAGAAAAGTAGAAATGATAAAGTTTAATATATAACATAAGTTATAAAGTGATAAGTGACATATATATAGATATAAAAGGGTACATAAAGATAGAATATAGTAAAATGCAAGAGGTGGGGTTCGAACCCACGCCTCCGAAGAGAACAGTACCTTAAACTGCCGCCTTGGACCACTCGGCCACTCTTGCTGGTTGTCATATAATAAAATCAAAGAATAAAAACACTATAAAGGTATAAAGGTATAAAGGTATAAAGGTATAACTCTATATAGGTATAAAGGTATAAGAGGAATAGAATAGTATAAAGGTATAAAGGTATAACACTATAACACTATAGTCATATAGTCATATAAAGGTATAACTCTATAAGAATATAAGAATAGAATAGGGTAACACTATAGGAATAATATAAAGATAAAATAGAAAGTCTATATAGGATAAAGATAGAGTAAGAATAATAGAACATAAAAGGTTATAGATATCTAAACATTTACACATATATGAATATATAGATAGAAAAGGATCTAGAAATAAGAATAGAAAAGTATCTAGATGTATATATAGATATAAAGATAAGAACTAAGATGTAAGATGTAAGATGTAAGATATAAGATATAAGATATAAGATATAAGTAAACATATAGATTATATGAGGCATAAAAAGTGTAAGGCCTCTGCGGGAATCGAACCCACGACCTTTCCCTTACTAGGGGAACGCACTGCCATCTATGCTAAGAGGCCTTCCAAGGATGGAGGTATATATAATATAAAAAAAAGGTGTAATATATATATAAAAAGTTGAAATAAATAAATATAAAAAGTTGGAATATATATATATAAAAGGTGTAATATATATAAAAGGTGTAATATATATAAAAGAAGGAATATATATATATATAAGGAAGAATAAATATAAATAAAAGATAAGGTATAATAAAATAATAAAGGTATAAAGTTATATAGATATATAAATATATATATAGATATAGATATAAAGGAATAAAGTAGAAAAGTAGAAAAGTAGAAATGATAAAGTTTAATATATAACATAAGTTATAAAGTGATAAGTGACATATATATAGATATAAAAGGGTACATAAAGATAGAATATAGTAAAATGCAAGAGGTGGGGTTCGAACCCACGCCTCCGAAGAGAACAGTACCTTAAACTGCCGCCTTGGACCACTCGGCCACTCTTGCTGGTTGTCATATAATAAAATCAAAGAATAAAAACACTATAAAGGTATAAAGGTATAAAGGTATAAAGGTATAACTCTATATAGGTATAAAGGTATA